TAATAGTATACGGCCAATCTTAGAAAAAAAAAAAAAAAAAAAATGTATACATATATAAATATAGTCATCGTGATGAAAAGGCGTCGGAATAATTAGAATAATTAAAATCTTCCAGTTTACAATATGCACGTATACATACGTACATATAATATGTATATGTATACACGTATAATGGTACGCGCGTATATATCGGTATACGTTTCATTATAATCTCGAAACGTTATTCTGATAATGATTATATTATAAATACGCCGTACATTATAATTATTATAATATTGTTTTTTCCTATAGGCAATATTTTATTAAATAATAATATAGGTTTTTTTTTTTTTTAACAACGGACATTATAACAATATGTATATATATATACATGTTTATACATGTATAAAAGATAACGTCACTCGTCCAGTTACACACAATTATTGTACGTAATTATAATATTGTAGATTCGGTGTTTTTTAGATTCCGAATGAAGCCAGTGAATCTGTATATTATCGGTTTTACTAGGACGCGTATTTTTTTTTTTTTTTATTTAATTTTTCGTTTTCCGTCTGTACAAACAATATAATTTTCTCCTAGAACACGCTGCCGTGTCGAAAAACACGACGAGAAACCTTTTTGGTCGTATTTCGGCTCTACACAGTGGCAGGTGAATAGTTTAGAACGATCATGTTTCGAAATTCTCGTCAATATCCGAGGTAATGACGAAAAACCGGTTCTTAGGTTAGAAAATATTAAAAGGTTAAAGGTTGTCATTGGCAACCGTAATTCATTTTTGTTATTATTACCTGTGTTTTGTTATTTTAATAATTTTTTTTTTTTTTTGAATAATCGTTATTATGATATTTTGAGCGTTTTTTATTATTAAAAAAATATCGAATTTGTTCGAATTTTCACCAAAAAAAAACAGCAGCCGCAATCGTGATAACACGAACGCATTATATCATTTGTATCTGCTCGTAGCACGCCGTCGCGGTCGTGTTTCGGACGGGTTTTACGTTCGATTAAAACAAATCGAAAAACATGTTTACGTTAAGCTATCACGTTATAGCTGAGAAAACAAACAGCGCGGTCGATTCGATCCGGACCAGACAGTTGTTCATCAGACCGAAGCGTCCAGACAATCCGAATAAAAGTCCGCTTCATTTTATTTAATTTTATAACCTGAACACATAATCGTACATTACACGACGGTTCAAAAACATAATATATTATCAAGATATAATGGAGATTAATATTATTCAGTACAGGTATCCGCACCCATATACTATACGGTTTGAAAAAAAAAAAACCAACGCATACATTTTTCCTTTATGTTATGTACAGTGAAAATCGTGTCTGTTTTACAGCGATGTTTATTATTACTGTTATACCCTGCGTTTTTTCCCCTCTTTTTTCACGGCTACAGACACACTATTTTTTGAAGAGGTTATATACGATAATATATTATTACATACAATATAAACATCGATCTTTCGAGTAGGGTTTAAAAATAATTTGAATTTTAAACACGCGGTGTAAACCTATACATAATATACGCCAGTGTACAGGCGACGGGTCAGAGATATAATGATAAGTCTCTATTACGTATACATGTATAGTTATAATCTCTGACGTTAAAAGGTGTACGTGGATAATAGTATAGGCTTTAAAGTTCATTATTGGAGGATGTTCATTGTTTCTGCAGTAATATTACCATCACGTATATATTCGACGGTTGAAAACCAACGAATCAAAAAATGTTCGAGATTAAACCAAACCGGTGGGCGGGAGGGGGGCAGTATTATAAGTTCCGATTCAATTTCTTTTCCAAAGTGCGCCGAGCGATTTTCAATATTATAAACGATATGGCAGTAGAAGATCCGTACGCGAGCTATTGCAGCAGCTCATAACTGCGGCAGTATATTTTCAAAATAATAATATATTTTCATATTTTATTACATTAATCTGCAATACATGTACAGCTTGAGTGGCCAGTACAGCAAATGCCGTATATTTTTTCGTAAAAAAGTTCGTATAAAGCCCATATTTTTTATATACGGATATCGGGCACGGGGACGGACAAGACATTACAGAATTAGTATCTACGTAGAACGGGGTTGGGGAACCTGCGACTCCTTAACGTGCAATCTGTGGCTCTATAGAAAATGCATTGATATCTAGACATCCTATAGATCTGGAGCTAGACTCACAAAATATAAATTAAAATTTGAGCCCACAAATTCCTAATGGTCAATTAATTAAAATTAGTCGTTTTTTGTACTACGGTAGGTAACCTTTTTGTTTCGTTTTTAATCTTAACCATTGCGGCTCTTTGAAAATCGCGGTTTGGCCATTTTTGTTTTTTTTTTTTAATGGCTCATTTACCCGAAAAGGCTTCCGACCCCTGCTATGGAGATACATCGATTTTCCGGTAATATTTATTATATATACTTGTATCACTTATATAAAAAGTCTTCCGATACAAGACACTCATCGAAACTATTGCGCATTTAAATACGATATACATAAAAGTACACGCTCGCAGAGTGAGTCATCCCGACTGGTTTATGGGTTTGTCGATTTCGGCCTCTAGCTATCGCGGCCATAAAAGTAAAAATATTACGGATTTGTCAATATGTTATACTCGCGTTGATTTTTCTTTCTCTTTTCGCGTAGTCTTCGCCTCTCTGTCTCGTTATTGTTATAATTTTTTTTTTTTTTTCGCATACGCGAGTTTTCGACGCTAAATACTATTATGAACTCATTGTAACCACGGCGTATTGTATAACAATACACAGCCGATTATATGGATGCTATCCATCATATCGTATCATATATATATATATATTGAATATATTACGTACGGGAAATTATTATTATTATTTGTTCCTGATATTAATCGCTGGAATACATGAAGTGTGTATATATATCTACTGGTTTTTTAATTTTTATAAAAAAATACACAATATATTGCGTTCTGACGTAGAAAACAACAACACGTACCCGTACACACAATGTAATATTATAACGACTGCGCGATGCGCGGACGACATCGCCGCAGCCGGCGGCGGCATTACACACGAAATTAAAATGTAAATCCCGACGAAAACGTCCGCGTGGCGTAGTGGTGCCGCGGTCGCCGTTGCCGCCGCCGCCGCGCGACGTGTACCGCAGTCGCGCGCGCGTGTCTATTAAAATAATTATACGGGGCACCTGTACATTAAAACAAGGAGTACGCGAGGGTACCGCCGCCGCGGCAATAACATTGCGTATTTATAACGGAGAACGTATTGCGCGCCCCCGCGGATAAATACGGAAAACGCTGCCGGTTGTCCCAGCCCGAGAAACACGTAAATAAAACCGTATGGGAAACGTCCGGGCGCTCAACTGTATCACAATTCACAGGGTCGCGCGCAAATCGGGTGCCGCCGGATTGCTATATCGCCGGCTGTTTTTTTCTCGGGTGGCCAACGACATTCACACCCCCCTCCCACCACTCCGGCCGCCGGACATTGGTTTAACTCGTACCGAGTACGTTCGTATCGTTCGTAATACAATTTCGCCGCCCCGGGACGCCCCCCCCTCTCTCCCCCGCTCGTAGCGTGACAAATGTCTGGAAACGTCGTCGTCGCGTTTCCTCGGGCGAAACGGCCCGATCGATCGTTCGCGACGGAACGTTAAAAAAAAAATAAACAAAAAAAAAAAACGATAGAGTTGTAGATATCCACACAGTATCGGTAGGCGTACGAGAGAAGGTTTTTTTTTTTTTTTTGCGAACTTTTTGCCCAACCGCGTTTCTAACTTTTTTCTTTAAGGTTTTTCTTATTTTTCTGCATCGCAATATCTCTGCGAACAGTAGTCAGCCATAGCATGTAGCCAAGTGTAATTTTAAATTAATTACCCGAGTCGATTACCGGCAAACTCACTCTTCCTCTCCCAAGGTAATATTACAAAGATAATTCATCCTTACCAAATTGAATAAAACATACAGCGTACATCGTCGTTATCGAAATTATAAACTACACCTAACCTAACCCAACCCAACCCCACCTACTATTATACTGAATTATTCTACAATTATACGGCTACTACGGAAACATTATTGTTCCACCACCTAAAACGCTGCGGTATAAACAGTGTGCGCACAATGTAAAACGTAATTTGTAGACGATAATTACATTTGGTACGGAATTGTTTCGCGAGTTTCATCGAAGCTCATGCACCCACGCAACCAAGTTCCAAAACAATTGCTGTCCAGGTAGCTGGTGTGCGACCGACCGTCGGTCAGCGTTATAGTAGGTAGGCGCACGTGAATGATCGGACGGTCCTTGTTTCGCCGGTTTCGCAGTTTCCTCGATCAACAGATCACGCGATTTCCTGTCGTCTCGCTCGGCCCGACGTTAAAGCCCACGCGAAAACTATCGCATTGCGGCGTAACGCACGCGGTGTTATTTTCCAATGGCGTATTTATAGGCTGGCCGCGTTTATATGATTATTTTAGTTTCGACCGCATACAGATTATGCAGATTTTAATGACGTAATGTTTTATTTAGGTTGTTATTGGTCGGCGTTTTGTTTCGTTTCTACGACCAGCCGCGGCCGCACGTACAGAACATTGTTCGGTGTACGGCGTGTCGTCTCCGCGCACGTGCAAATATTACGACAGTGACGCGCACATGACGATTCGATTCGATTTGGTCTTTTTTTCTTTATTACGATCCGTTTGTCACCATATTATTGTCACACGATCGGTTTACGTACGCTACGCGCGCGCCTCTCCTCCGCGCTGCCGTATGCGTGAACCGCACGTGAAAACCGCGCTGTGACGCGTCGTAAACGGTCAGAGTCGCAGCGATACGACGGAATCGTCGTACCGTGACGGGGGATAGAGTTGAGGAACGTCGTCTATAACCACATAGGTATCGCGCATCGACTCACGGGCGCCCGGGAGGGGAGGGCGGCACCCCGCGAGGCACCTCCCCGGACTTCGAAATTTCCAATATGATATCAATTGTTACACAATTTATATGCGACTTGTGTACGTGTTCCATTTCATTGCGCCCCTCCCTAGCCATATGTCGGCCTAGTTATCAAAGGGCCCGGGCAGGTTCTTATTTAGGGTTGTGCACGCAGTAAAAGGTCATGCAAAACGTTTTACAAAGGCGCCGCCACTCTTCGATAAATTTCCTGCTGGCGCCCATGGACATCGCGGACGAATATAATTACTCGGGGGGGTCGCGGATTGAAAGAAATAAAAAAAAAAATCAAAAGATTTCACGGGGTGTACAAGTGTAACAGTGATAATAATAACGGGCGACGAATGACGGACGTTCGAATAAAACGATGTTGACGTTTTCAGCTCGTGCGTTAAACGATGTAATATCGCGCGGTCACCGTCAAAACCGATTCGCTTGTGTCGCGCATTCAAATTCTCCGAGTACATTTTATGACGGGGAGCCGGTCAAAACGCCGACAGCCATAACGACAACAGATCGAAATGTCGTTGAAGAACAACGGCTTATCAACAAACCTGTAAAGCTTATTATTACTCGAGTAAATATTGACAAATTAAATTGTATTCTGACCTATCTATTGCGATGTAAAACAATATCGGCCTTTTATGTTAATAAAAATCATCCGGTCCGCGTAATTTATTTTTATAAATAAATAAATGTCAAATTTAATTCATTTTCCTCTCCGCATGTAAGCATACGGTATAAATGTCGGTAAAAGCGTTCCGATTTTTACACGGTCCAAAGAGAAAATGTTGTTCTAGAGCTACTTTATTGCGACAGTAAAAAAAAAAAAAAAAATATCGAGAAGTCCGGTTAGCAATTTTACCGGTAGTGCCGATTGCGTGTAAAGTAAATACACACAATACTCGAACTTGCCCTTGGAATTACAAGTTGGCACTACAAGTTCAATAGTTTTAACGCAGTAACTACGTGTTACGATTAACTGGTATTACACTGCGGTGTGTTTTTAATTCCGTCCGGATTACGCGCCGTTCGTATTTCATCGCGGTCTCAATCTTCGTGGTTACACGCTGTACCTGTTGTGCGAGACGAGACAATAATGATATCGCCGTGTCGGTTTGTGTTTGTTAATTCGTGACGAGTGCCGGCATTTAACACGCGTGTGTTGTTTCGGTTGTTTTACGTTAAATCCGTCGATAACATTTCGGACCCTTCGGTATACCGACCGTCGCCATTGCGACGGCCGGTCGGCGGTGTCTCGTGGCGTTCCGACGTTTCGACCGTCGGCGTTTTAACGCGTCGGATGTTCCGACACCGCCGGCGTTCGGCGAAAACAGCGCGGTATAAAACGATCGCCCTGTACAGCGTTCGGCGTCGAGACGATTACACCGTGACCGCGATTTCTCGGAACGCGTATACGATGCGCGCTGTGTACACGGTACGTGATTCGTGCATTAAGAAAAAAAAAAAAAAAAACGAGTATTTTTTAAACACGATAACGCGCATACGTACGTATACGCGTTATTATTATTATTATTATTTTGTAATCTGTGATGTTCGTCGTCGTCCGATACATTATTGTTTTAATGTCCGCGCGCGTGTTCGACGATCACCGTGCGGCGCGCGTACGATCGGACGGATTTTCGTATTTCGAGCCGCCTACAAATCACGCGCGCAACGTACTTGTACGCTATATCGTTTCAATGGTTGTCGTCCGTGCGATACGCGCGCGTACGCCGCGCGCGTTATGCCGTGCGCGGACAATGCCGCGGCCGCGCGTTACGACGGAGCGGTAAAAATAGTCCCGTCGCTCGGTCACGCGTGTTTGATGGACGAAAACCGCGCTAAACCGTACGCCGCGCCGCATCGTCGGCGACCGTCTCCCGGGCGCGCCGTATTTTCCTTAATTCGCGCGCGAGAACGCACAGACTATCGGGTAACGCGACGCCGTCGAAACCGGCTCGACAACACGGCGGCGCTATGCGGTAACCGTAGACATTTCGTTGCGCGCGAAACGATTTCGCGTGTTTCACGCGCGTACGACTCGGTGGCTGGGGGGGGGGGAAAGCTCGACTTTTGTTGAATCGGCCCCCCCCCCCACACGCAACGCCCCACTTTTAATTCCGGCTCTCGTACGCAATCGCCGCCGGACGAACGTCTTGCCGTTCTCGCCGTTCCCCCCGGCCGCGGAGGGGGGGTGGGGCACCGGGCCGCCCCATCGTCCCGCCGCGGTGACGGAGCGCCCGGTCCGGAAACGGGAATGGTTCTCCAGACGGCCCGGATCGTATTGCCGATTACGGCCCGGCGAGGGCGTATAGGTGGCCGCGCGCTTTACCCACCCGTTTTGTTTCAAAACCGAGAAACCGAAAAACACGTCATGTTTGTATAAAAAAATTATCGCTCCGCGTGTATTTTATTGCCGTTTATCGCTGTTAGGTGCGGAGTTTATTTTTTTTTTCACACATTTTCGCTGAAAGTTTCGCGGCGTTACGTGGAAATGCAAGAATTCGACGATAACACCGTTGGACGGGTTTTCCGCGGTCGAAACTCCGAGCCCGCCCGGAGATAAACGATCGGCGAAAATTGAATTGATATTTCCGAAATGAAACGCTCGAAACGCTGAAAACAAAATGAAATAAATGCGTATCGCAATAACCGTAAGAACGTGGCGAGTTTTCAATTATATAATTACGGAAATAAATAAAATACGTGTTAACCATTATCAATTATACGGTTTTCATAGTGGTATACCGGGGCGGTAAGAATGAGCATTTGCATATTTTTTCGGCTCACCATAAACCCTAGCAGTGTCATGTTGCAATGATCATTTTTTTTTTTTAGCTTATTTCGATTAGTTTCAAAAGAATTGCTTTTTTCTAGTTTTCCTGATTATTTTTCGGTTTTTCGCGCGTCTCAACTCAATAAATGACACGTACCACTAAACAAATCGTAGAAATGTTTTTATTTATTTTTGTTCGCGGGAAAACCAGAACTAAAATAATTAATTTGAGAATTATATATGAAATAGAAAATCTAAGAAAACATTGGATTATTCAACGCAATAGTGGACGTGAGAAACATTTTATAAAATACATTCTTGTTTCATGAAATCAATCAATTGTCTTCTTCGGTTAAACACTTCGAAATTTATTTTTCAAAAAACCTATAATAATAATACAACGAAGAATTTAAAATGTTCTCAAAAACTCGAGTTTAATTTTTTTTTTTTTTTCTTAATGTTTCAAAGTATCGAAAACATTGTGTTTATGTATTTTTTTTCTCTGCCATTCGTGTGTTTGCGCGCGAACCGCTCGATTCCGAATAACATTCGGACGGTGTTTATAAATCACACGGTCTCGGTGCGTAATGGCCGCGGCCGTAAAGTACCGCATTTATGACGGTTTACTACTTATTGCGACGGCTGTCGTAAAAACGGGTCACCGCACAACGAGGCCATAAAATACGAGGTTTTAACGATCGGATTGATTGTCTTATCGGCGATAATGGTGTAATCGTTATGACGTTACCGCCGCGGCGGACAATGTATTCTGATTACTCGGGCGTCTGTCGTCGCCGAGTTTAATATTTTTTTTTCCACATTTTTACATATTTTCAACGTGCGGTCAAATGGTTTTTTTTTAAAATTTTTTTTTACGTGTATTTTAACGGAAAATAACCCCGAGTATTATCGGCCGGCCGGCCGGCCGTCCCCCGGTGACGAAATGAAAAAGGCGGTATTCGATTTTCACGCGGCGAAAAACGCGCGTTAATAATAACATTAACGTATTGTGATTATTAATAATCACAATATTATTACCTAAAAACGATAAAACGAACGCGACGTTTGTAGAAACGACGCGTTTCTGGGATTACCGGGCCGGCGGAACGATGCGCGGGCGGTCCGGTAGATGTCGGCGCGGGTACGCGGCCGCGCTCCGTGCGCGCGTACCGCCGCGGCAGCGACGGGCCCGGGCGCCACTGCGGGGCACCGCGCGCGCCGGCCATGACGAATTGAACGGCTATTGGCCCGGCTCCCGTCCTCCCCGCCCCCCTCCACCGCACCACCGGTCTTCCCGTAGCTCTCGCGCGCGTACACGCACACACACACACACACGCACACACGCACACACACACACACACACACGCACGCACACACCTTCGCCGCGTTCTCGGCGATTCCGTTTTAATGGGTCCTTCCGCGCGGCGGCGGCGGCTCGCTTTCCCCCGCGCCGCCGCCGCCGCCGCCGCCGCCACCGGCGCGTAGCACTGCGTGCAACCCGTTTCTCTCGAATGGCGCAATAAAAGCGAACGGGCGACGAAAACGGGAGATTCCCGTGAGGCGGCGGCGTGTGCGCGCGGCAGTGGCGGCGGCGGCGGCGGTGGTGGGGGGCTTTTTTCGAGCGCTCGCGGCCCGAGTCACATGGCACGTCCGTGTGTGCGCGCCAGTGACGATCCGATTGTCCCGTCGTTAAGTCGTCATCATAACAACTCTGGCCCAAACGCTCGGAACGTACGCACACAGTCCGCTGCAGTCTAAACGATAATAATAATAATAATAATAATAACAATAGTGAATATTATAAAATAAAATAATTATCGCCCCTGAAAAAAATTTCGCGCGTTGAACTACCGGCTACCGTCTGTCCGCGTGATTTTTTTTCGAATTTTTGTTACGTATTTTATTTGGTTTTTTTTTTTCTGTCCGTAAATTTTAATACAATAATATATTCGTTCATTTTTTTTTTTTTTTTTTTTAAATTTTTTTCCCCCGAAGTGTTCGATCGGTTTTTTTATTTTTTTTTTTTTCTGCGCCCCCTCCCGTTCGGTTCGGTTTTTCTCGATTTTATTATCAATCGTCGTCGTATTATAAAATACTACAGCGACGACCGCGGAGTCGTTAAGAAATTTTTACTACGCGCTCGTAAAACCCGAAGGCGCGCGCTCCCGCGGAGTTTTACGACCCGTCCGGATATATTTTATCACGTATACATTTATCCGCGGCGGCGACGACGACGACGACGACGACGACGGCACGACGATGACCGTTTTTACGACAAATTAAACGGTGTACTCGTAAAGCCCGCGAGAAAAGTGTTTTTCGCGTGTCCGCGTGTGTTCGCGTGCGCCCGTCCGTATAAATACGCGCGCGGTTTTTCCGTCGACTGTCCGTTGCGCACAGAAAAACCGAGGAAAAATTAATAATTTTTTTTTTTTCGAGAAAAATAAAAAACACTCTCGTCACCGGATCGTGTATATATATTCACGTAGATATACATATATACATTAATATATATACTTATATATATATATATATATATATATATTTATATATTTATCGCCGCGTGAAAATCCCCGTGACCCGTGCGAACAACGAAATACGCAACGTAACGAACGCGCCATGAATTCGTATTTCGAACAGACCGGTTTCTACGGCGGACACCACCATCACCAGACGTCGTCCGGCCACCATCACGACCAAAACGCCGTGGCCGCGGCGTACCGGTTCCCGATCGGATTGGGCATGTCTCCGTACGCGTCCTCGCAGCACCACCATCACCACGGGCTGTCGCAGGCCCGGGCCCCGCAGGACAGCCCTTACGACGCGTCCGTGACCGCGGCCGCGTGCAAGTTGTACGGCTCCGGCGGCGGTGGCGGCGGTGGCGGCGGCGGCGGTGGCACCGGGGCCGGCGGAGGCGCCGGCGGCGGCGACCAGTCTTCGGCGGTCGCGGCCACCGCGGCCGGCCTCAACTACACCAAGACGGAGCCGTGCGTCAGCGGCGGCGCCGGCGGGAAATCGGACGCGGCCTCCGCGGCCCACCAGAACGGCTACGCGTCGTCTCCCAAAGACGTCGTGTGGCCCGGCACCGGCGGGTCCGCCCCGGCCAACGGGTCCTTGCTCAGGCCCAACGTGTGCACGCCGGAGTCGCGCGTCGGTTACGGTTCCGGGAACAGCGTGTCCGGCCTGGACGGCGGCGCCGGCGCCAGCCCGAACTCGGCCCGCAACTCGGCCGGTTCCCTGTCCGCGTCGTGGAACACTTGCGCCGGCATCAACAACAACGGTCACCAGCAACAGGCCCTGCAACTCAACCAGCAGCAGAACAACCATACGTTCTACCCGTGGATGGCCATTGCAGGTCAGTCTCTAGGTACAGACACGAAAAAGAGTATTTTTTTTTAAATATTATTTCTCTCTTACGACGTAATTATGCATGCGACGAGAACAAAAATTTTCAGCTTTTTTTTCACTTATTATTATTGGATGGGGAAAAAAAAATTAGAAAAAACCATAAAAAAATTTTTTTAGTTGAAACTTAGAAAAAAAAATTTTTTTTTTTATACTCGATAGGTAATAATTGGAAAAATAACTAAGACCGAATTTATGAACGATTTATATTATGATTGTACATTGTTATAAAAAATAATAAAAAAAAAAAACACAAGTACCAATTTACAAAAATTTAAAAAATATGTAGACGTTCCGGCTCGAGCGTGTATATTTTGTTTTCTCTCGTGATATTTTCTCCGGGTTGTTTTTTGCTTGCGGCGTTATAGGTTCGCCGGGGAAAAAAAATCACCCGCCTCAACAATACTATAAAAACGTCGTTAAACAGGAAAATCCGTCCGTTTGAACTGATAAATAATTCGGGTTGACGCGGCGTGTTCTCGCGATTCTCGGGGGCTGAAAAAAAAAATCGTGTCGATCAAAATATTGTTTATAATAATGCAATTCAAATAATATAACCCGTCATTCGGTTCCCGTTCGATCGAAAAATATTATCATTGTAATTTCTGTAAAATTAAAAAAATCATAAAAAAAAAAAACAATTTTAATCAATATAGAATATAATTTTAATACGGCGATCGATGTTATCTGCCCGTGTGCACTTCCCTTATCGTTTCGGCGAAATAGATGTTTTAATCAATTTAAATCGTACATACAATTATATGCGCACAGACAGCCAGGTGTAAGACATCGGTGCACGTGCAAATGAGGTTAAGTCAACGGTTTGTGCGGGAAAAAAATCAGTATATTTCTATGCATATGTATTGTTTGTGCTTTTTAGCACCTATAACGTGTTGTAGTTTAAGTGGGAATATTGTCGAACGAAAAAAAATAAAACGTTCGTCGACTCGAATCGCTATTTTTTTTTATTATTATTATTGTTATTATTGCATTCAATCGCATATATGTATTTTGCGCGGAGTCGATTTCGGTCGCTGCGGACCGCTGTCGAAATAGTCTTTATTACCCGCCGGATCGCGCGCGTGCACGATCCCGCTTTTGATCGAGATTTCCCACGTTTCACATTTCACACATTTCCCGGTCGTGAATTTCGATACCCGACGGGACAACGGCCCCCCCCCCCCCTCGTCGGCGGCCGATGAAATTCGCTTGCGCGAAAAGCCGCGACGCGAGCGGAAAAACCGGAGCGAGATTCCCGGCGGGAGAGTCGCTTGGCGCGGACGGACGGGAAGGATCTCTCCCGGTCGTCGCGTGTGCCGTACAGTGAAATCCAACGCGCCGAGCTCGGAATCTGAAAGAAATACAAAACAAAACCCCCCCCCCCCAATTGTAGCGTGTGCCAAAACGATCAAATATTCGTATAGACCGACCCGGAATTCGCACCGCGACAATTATCGTTAGAAGGAACCGAGTCGCGCGCGCGTTCCGACGGAGAAGTTCCGACAGTCCGTCGGCTGCAGAACACCCGGACCGTAATCTCATTATGAAACGCTCGCGCGCGTTTCAAATTGCGAATTTCGTCCGTGACGGCCGCGCGATTTGTACGACATTTGATCGTCGTAACATCGTTGCATCCGTCGCAGGCGTAAATTCCGGGGGCGACAATATTACGCTACGCGCGCGTACGCAGGCTTTGTATGTATGTATATTATTTTTATTTTTTTTTTATTGGACCTGTTGCTCGATCCGTAAACGCGTTTCGACGTTCTACCGCCGTGGTTCACCCTCCCGAAACGTCGACGGCGATAATACTCGTTCGACGATTTCCGTAGAAAACCCGACCCCCCCCCACCCCTGTCCCCTCGGGCGTACAATTAATTCGTTTATATTAACGCGCGCGTGGTATACGTTTCGTTCCGCGTTATGGAAAAAAAAAAAAAAAAAACAAAAAAATTACAAATTCTCGAGCTTACCGGATTTACGACGTTTTCGCGCACCATCGGGTTTGCTGCGCCGTCGTAATCTCTTTTGTTTCTCGGTCGCCGGAAACGCGCGGCACAGGTGAATACACGGGGCGGTCAAGGAGCCGGAAAGCGGCGATTTTCCCCCCGTTGCGTTTTCGTATATAATAACCCCCCCCCCCGCTCACCCAGGCGTTGATCCGGCGAAACGGCGGTGATTAAAAAGGGACCGGATCCGTCGTCGCGTGCACCCGAGATCGGTTTCACGTCCGTCCGGAGAAATCCGTACGGAAAAACGAGTGAAAAAAAAAAACCCGGCGGCCAAAGCTCTCGTCGATCTCGGGCGGCCCGGACGACAAATCCGAATCCGTTTTCGTGTCGGCGATTGTTCGCCGTGTGTTTGCAGTCGGACCGAATGCGCGTCTGGATTCCCGTGCACAAAGACGCGGCGGTTCCGATCACCTCGGGGTAATAAAAAAAAAAAAAAAACCATTTATAAATATACACGACCCGATATAATAATTACAGCCCGCGATTGCAACGCGTATAATACGACCGTGTATTATATACTTATAATAATAATAATAATGTATACGTGTTTATATAGCTGCGGCCTGATACGTTTTTAATATTATACTCGTGTTAGCGGCGTAAAAAAAAAAAAACGAAAAAAAAAATTGAAAATTTACACGCTGTACACGGTTGACGCCGCGGCGGCGAAACGAGCGTGCCGCCGATAACGTCGGGCGCGCGGGCGCGTTCGCGGAGCAAAAGTAAATGTCAATTTTTTCTAATGGATTCTCGAGGGGCCGCGAACAACCGGCTGGCGGTTCGCCCCCGGGCACAATCGCGTGCACCCGAGATCGCACAACGTGCCGCGCTCAAACCCGCAGGGTGTTATCGTGACGGGGTGACGGACAGACGTGCCGCAGAAATCGCCGCGAGAACGTGGACTCTTACCCATTTTTCGCGGACGCCGTTAAAGGCGCCCGCGCGATGTTTTGCGCGCGCTCGTTGCGGCTAACGTCAAATTGCCGTTCGGTTCGCTACGCGACGGCGAATATGACCGGCCCACAGCTGTTGTCCGACCTGAAACGTGCGGACGTTTTATTTCGGTCGGCCCCCCCCCCGCGTTCGTGCGCGTCGGTTTTTTTTTTCCCGGACGTTTCCAACGAGACGGCCCGTAATGGACCCGTCGAATCGCAACGTCTCGCGCGTTTCGAATTTCGGAAAAACCGGCACTGACGGGTATTGTTCGTGTTTTACATACTTCCGAGCTTGACGAATACACTATTTACGTTTCGTAACAAAGCCTGTCCGCGATCCGTTTCGAAAACCGCCGGCACGCGCTCGGTCGGATGTACCGAACGGAAATTTGACATTATCCGGTTTTCAACGTTGGCCGCGTACCATATAATAGTACACGTTATACAGGACGATTATGTTATCGATGGCAATTGCACAGCGGTCGCGTGCAAAGTCTCCCTCTCCCTCCACAAAAACAATAACCTATTCACGACTCTGTGCAGTCGGACTACAAACCCGTTTTCCGGCCCACGCACAAACGTATCGATGTCCAAACAGTGCAGTAGCGGCACCCACTACTGTATTTTTTATTCGAAATTCAAAATCCGCAAATGTTTGTCCGCGTAGAATACGCGTACTATTCGTTTATCCCCACGGCCTGTATACCACCCCGGATGTCACTATACTAGAGATGCGACGAACAGTTCTATTTTCTAATCGAACGATTTTCGAACCGTACCAAACACCCAATAGTTCGAAAATCATCCGATGCCGACACAAATACGACGTTCCGTGGGGGGGGGGGATAAATCGGCCCTGTTACGAAAAAGAAAAATTATATTTTATTCGCATTATTGGCGGTTTTATAATCGTAAATCAGTCGAGAAGCCCGAGAACCTGGGTTTTTCACCCAAACCTAACCTGAGCTATTTAC